AAATAAATACATTCCCTAATTTTAAATATACAGTGTCTAAATGTTATATTTAAAGATTTATTAAGAATATCCTGAACTTTGAGGGTAGGAGTTTACAAAATATTTATATTTATCTGTTTACAAAAACATTTACCATCTTAAATAGTGCAATTTTCTTTATAAGTACTTATTTCTGAAAAAATACTTTATTCAGTAATACTTAAAGAATTAAAGAAAATGTTAATAGAAAAAAAAGTCTAACTGAAAAGAGATTTAAATCCCATCAGGTTAATCTTTTAAAGGGATCTTTGAATCATATTCATAGGTCTTATTCTAGGTGTCCTTGTACAAGAACTGTATGGTCAGTCCCCTTACAGAGAGGTCACGAAAATCCAGGATACATTATAAATATTCTGGTTCTCTCTTTTTTCTTGTCTTTTTAAACTTCAAGCATCTTTTATTTTGCTGATTTTGTGGGAAACAAAAACTCAGTAAAACTAAGTTTAAAATGGAGAAAGTGAGTGATTCTATAAGAAACATTTTAGCATTAAAAAAATGGATTCGGGTACCATGAATGTACTGTGAATGCTTAACATCTGATAATGTTAGAGACTGTGCTCAGCGCCAACTGATGACTGGGCTTCTAAAAACAGAACTATAGGAAAGTAACTGTACTGTATAAATTGTATAGATAAAAAATAAACTGTGTAAATATAATAGGTATATTATTTGAACTTTAAAATAAGCTCAGGGACTTTGAACTCTCTATTAAACCAAGAGAAAAATAGCTTCAGTGAAATTTTCATATAACTGACAGGTTAGAAAAAAATATATCTGGAATCTTGCCCATAGGGTGAGGCTACTTCTATTTTTATTGCACTATTAATGCTTAAAATGACTGGTTGGAGAGCAGTCTTTACACTGCCCCTATGCCCACAAGGGAGGGGCGCCTGATGCCTCAGCTACACACCTTAAGAAATGGCTCTTTCTTTCTTTTTAATGAATTGAGATCAGTACCAAAAACCAAACCCATTGATTCTGGCTCATAGTGACTCTATAGGACAGAGTAGAACTGCCAGATAGGGTTTCCAAGGCTGTAATCTTTACGGAAGCAGACTGCCACATCCTTCTCCTGCTGAGCGGCTGGTGGGTTCAAATCGCCAGCCATTCCATCAGCAGTCGAGCTCTTAACCACTGCACTACCAGTGCTCCTTAATGAGATCATTCCGCTAACCTGAAGAAATACCATAGGCACTGTTCTATTGTAAAGTTTTACTTCATTTCACAAATTTAGTGGTTTTTAAGTAGGTGATCTAATTTTACATTGGAACAGAAATTCATCTCCACGCACTAGATGAGCCAACCTGTTGCCATCGAGTTGATTCCGACTCATGGAGACCCTACCCGGCAGAGTAGAACTGCCCCATAGGGTTTCCGAGTAGCGGTTGGTGGACTCGAAGTGCCGACCTTTTGGTTAGCAGCCTGCGCTCTTAACCACTGTGCCACCAGGGCTCCAGATGAGCCAACTAGACTATGGTAAATTGCACAATACCAGCATTTTCATATATGTTGTGAATAAAATACAATTTTAAAATGTAAAAACTAAATACAGTTAGAGTTCTTACCCTCATCTCCAATCCCATTCAAAAATCAAATCTTGATAGAACCAAAGCACCAAGTAAGTATTCACATCATCCCCTGGGAGCTATACTCGTGCTCTGTGATAACTGCTATCGCATTTTCTAAAACAAGAGAAGCTTTCTACTAGAGCCTTTTTCAAACTAGAATTCTCTGGCAGCCCTTCATAACCAGTAGAATAAAGTCACAATGTCCTAATCAGAAGGTGTCTGCTGTAGGAAATGAATTAACTCCTCTCTCAAACATCTAGGATTACTGCAGTGGAACCTGTGAGAGCCGGAACTCGAGGGGACTGCCTTATTTTTCCAGGTCTCGCAAGTTTTCTGCCTTTGACAGGGTGCAGTCTTACCACTTATCTATCATTCGTTTTAGTGGAAAATATTTGAGTTTTCCTTCTCTGACAGGTTTCCACTTTACACAGGTACCGACTTTCCATAGGTTTCACTTTAAGTATGCAGCCGCCTAGAAAGAATTGAGAAAACAGCCACTCGGATCACTTCTCTTTCTCAACCTGGTTGAGAAAGGATGCAAGGATATGTATGGAAAGCTAGAACTTCTCAAGCCTAGGAGATTGTACAGTTTGTACTACAGCAAGCATAACACACTACTGAACTGTTTGTGTTCCATTGCCACATAAAGCTAATCTGAGAATGGGAAGTAACTTTTTCATAAGACTGTTAGTAGATCACATTTTACAATATGAAACAGAAAATATGTTGTGGAGTGTAGCCCTAAATCAATCATTAGGAAACTAAGGTAATTCATAAAAAAAAAATAAATTAATTAAAATAGAAAAGTTATGGTCTTTTGCTCAATAAAACCAGTTAATAGTCAATGAACAAGGTCCCTGAGTGGTGCAAATGGTTTGCACTTGATTTCTTACCTAAAGTTTGGCAGTTCAATCCCACCTAGCCACCCCACAGAAGAAAGTCCTGATGATCTGCTTCTGTAAAGGCTACGGACAAGAAAACCCTATGGGGCAGTTGTACTTTGTAACACATGGGGTTTGCCTTGAGCTGGAATCGACTCAGTGGCAACAAGTTATAGTCAGTGGAAGGTGGAGGTGAAAAGTGTGATTGGGATCAGGATCATCATCATTATTCATTGATTCATAAACAAGCAGTGACTAAGACACTACAGCTGATTATTACAGAAAATTCTGCCATTTTCTAGCCACACCACACACAAAAATAGCCTCCCTGTCATTACAGCTCTCTGTGTGTGGATGAAAAATAGGCTCTACATTCTATCTCAGCATGTGCGCTTAGACAGGAAGAACAATGCAAGATACTTTTATTGACACTTTAAAAAGCAAACAGGCTGCCCACAAAGAAGGGTTAAGAATCTTAAGTGTTTTATTTTGTACCATAAAAAAAAGAAGACGAAGAAATCTATGCCATCGATTCGTCTGAATAAACATTTTTTTTCTGGTAACAGTAGTTAACTTTTAACCTCTGTTATGGATTGAATTGTGTCCCCCCAAAATGTGTGTCACCTTGGCTAGGCCATGATTCCAGTATTGTGTGGTTGTCATCCATTTTGTTAACTGATGTGATTATCTTATGTGTTGTAAATCCTAACCTCTGGGATGTTAATGAGGCAGGATTAGAGGCAGTTATGTTAATGAGGCAGATTCAGTCTACAGGATTAGGCTGTATCTTGAGTCAAGCTCTTTTGAGATACGAAAGAGAAAAGCAAGCAGAGAGGAGGGGGACCTCATTACCACCAAGCAAGAAGAACCAGGAGCAGAGTGCATCCTTTGGACCCGGGGTCCCTGCGCTGAGAATCTTCTAGACCAGGGGAAGATTGATAACAAGGACCTTCCCCCAGAACCGACAAAGAGAGAAAGCCTTTTCCTGGAGTTGGGACCCTGAATTCAGACTTCTAGCCTCCTAGACTGTGAGAGAATAAATTTCTGTTTGTTAAAGTCATCCACTAGTATTTCTGTTACAGCAGCACTAGATAACTAATACAACCTCCATTCAAAAACTTCACAACTTCAAGTATATACGCACTTCCCTGCTTTTATATATAAAGTTCATCCTCATGATAATCAGCTGACTTACAAAGTTGAAGAATTTCTTTTAAAAGAAAGTTCAAATCCTTGCAAAAAAAACCCAAACCCATTGCCACTGAGTTGATTCCAACTCATAGCAACCCTATAGGACAGAGTAGAACTGCCCCATAGGGTTTCCAAGGAGTAGCTGGTGGATTCGAACTGCCCACCTGTGGTTAGCAGCCGAGCTCTTAACCACTGCACCACCAGAGCTTAAATTCTTACTAGTATGTAATTGAGACAAATTAGCATTCTCTTGATCATTATCCATTTTAATAGTACTAATTGCCTTTCATTTTCCTAAAATATAGAAAGTGGAAAAAATAGACATATTAGTATAATTCAGATCATAGCTCAAAATGCCATTTTAAAAATGAATACCTAAGGCATACCTAAGGAGCCCTTGTGTTGCAGTGGTTAAGTGCTCTGCTGCTAACCGAAAGGTTGGTAGTTTGAACCCACTGTGGAAGAAAGATGTGGCAGTCTGCTTCCCTAAAGGTTTACAGCTTGGAAACCCTATGAGGCAGTTCTACTCTACCCTATAGGCTTGCTATGAGTCAGAATCGGCTTAATGGCACTGGGTGTGATGGATGCAAGGCATACCTACCCCATGTTTATTTAGATTTCCTCAGCTGTTGAAGATTATCTTGAGAAGAGCTGCACTCCTACCTGCTCTCACCAGAGACTTTGGCCTCAGGAGGGTGACTGCTTATTGTCACTTGTCATGAAATGTACAGTTTTATATCCTGGGCTTCACATGCAATTTCAGAAACTCAGATGACACTAATGGCCTAAAGGACCACATGGACTTGGCCTAAATCTTTTTTTAGTTCAGTTTGGCAAATGTCCCAAGTGAAACTCAACTCCAAGTTAAAAGTATCAGTAGAGATAGAGCTAAATGCATCTGTGGACTTTCGGGTGCTCAGAGCTCTCGACAGCTTGGGAACAGTAAGCTGAATTGTCCAAAGCTGACATGAGCACAGGCATCTGCCACTGTACCACACAGAACAGCTACCCATAGCGGCATGAGAGCCCATGGGTGGAGAACACTGGGCTCAAGTTTCTGGTGGTTGGGTTGCTGTGGGTATCTTTACAGGCCAAGCCTGGAATCCCACTTTGCAACCACCTCCCAGTCTCAAAAAACTTGGATGTTACCCAACTGTAAAGCACAGGGTTAAGAACCGCACACATTAAGGCCAAGGAATCTTGTCTCTTCTTCTCCATTGGCTCCCTCACTTCCAGTCTCTCTCTACTTGCCAGTTTGAATTGCACTTTGGTTTTGGTTTCTAGAACAGAGGTTATTATGAAGCTGTCTGGAGAGAACATGCTAGATGGCTAAGTCATCTGCTCTGGGCCGCCCGCTGCTCAACTTACTGGCCTTGCTGGCCTGGCCCACGTCCCCGAGGAGCAAGGGAGGCATGTGCGTGTCCACTCTGGTGGTCCCTGCCTGCACCTCCTCCTCAGGAGTCACTTCCAATTTGCTCTCTTCCAAGTTGCTGGTGCTCCCGTTCACCAACAGAAGAGGAGTTTGACCTCCTGCCATGCCCTCCAGTGGGAGCTGTGGAGTGCTGCTCAGAGGACAGGGGGCTGCTGGGGTGGGTGTCAGTGGGCAGGGCTTCCTCCCAGAAGCCTGCTGCTCGGCCTCCTGGTTGGCCCAGTTCTGTTCTGTCATCAGCAAGTGGTGGCAGTTGTAGTATCTGGCAGGGTGGCCTTTCCCTTGCTCCTCAGACAGGGCTACCATTTTGAAATCCGTTGGTGGTGGAGGGGCCCCAAGATACCCTGTGGCCATTGTCTGTCCTGGGGAAGAGGCAGAGTGGGTGTAGTAAGGAAATCCAATGGGGATGGTGGGCGGGGCAGACTGGGAGGGGAGGAGGAATGGGTTAATATCACTGGGCTTTGTGGCCGCCGAACTAGTTTCAGCGGCATGTGGGCTATAATGGTTGGTCATGCCCTGTTTGAGTTTTTTCCAGCCCAGATGGTAGATCTCTAGCATATTGAGTAAGAGAGACACACAGGCTACTACCAGCATGAACATGATGAAGATGGTCTTCTCAGTGGGTCTGGAAATGAAGCAGTCAACCGTGTTGGGGCAGGGCCACTGGTCACAGCGGTAGAGGGGCTTCAGCTTAAAGCCATAGAGAAGGTACTGTCCAACAATGAAGCCCACCTCAAAGAGAGTCTTAAAGATGATGTTGAAGACATAGGTGCGGAGCAGAGCTCCCGCTATCTGGACCCTGCCCCGGTCGTCCCGGACAGGTGGCTTCTTTCTCTTCATTGTCCTGTCAGGAGGCTCCGGGCCCCCTGCCCCGGGTTGTGGGTTGTCTCTGCTCAGCTGCTCCTCCTCATGTTCCTTCTTCTTCTCCTCCCTGCGCACAAGGTGCAGCACGTGCCCCAGGTAGATAAGGGTGGGTGTGGAGACAAAGATGATCTGCAGCACCCAGAAGCGAATGTGGGAGATGGGGAAGGCCTGGTCATAGCATACATTTTCACAGCCTGGCTGCTGCGTGTTGCAAGTAAAGTCAGATTGCTCATCCCCCCAGACCTCCTCTGCTGCGGCTCCCAGCACCAGGATTCTGAAGATGAACAGTACTGTCAGCCAGACCTTGCCAATGACTGTGGAATGCTCTTGTGCATTCTCTAGCAGTCTTCCTAGGAAGCTCCAGTCACCCATTGCTCCAGACTCCTGGCCTATAATGAGAACATGGCTTGTTAACAAACAGGTACAGAAAAGCTGTAGAATCCAACTACCCAGAGCACCATGCCATTGTTTACTGACAAGTATTACTGGGTAGCACAAATGATTTGTGATCGACTACTAACCTAAAAGTTGTTGGTTGGAACCCAGTGGCACCATGGAAGAAAGGCCTCGTGATCTGCTTCTATAAATATTACAGCCATGAAAATATTATGGAGCAGTTCTACTCAACAGCAACAGATTTGGTTTTGGACAGTTGTATTAGAGGACAGTTTATTGGGTACCTATACGCCCACTTCCAAACACGGACAGTGCTATAGAACTCTCTCCAGGAATGCAGGAATGCAGGCTTAGCCTTTATATATATATATATATATACACACACACATATACACACACACATATATATACACATATATATTAGCATTTATATACTAATTTATTAAAAACAAACAAACAAACGAAAACAATTGCTGTCAAGTCAATTCTGCCACCCAGAGACTCCATAATGGGGATATGTATTTCCCTATTATCTTGCAGAAAAAAGGAGCCCTGGTGGTGCAATGGTTAAGTGCTTGGCTGCTAACCAAAAAGTCAGCAGTTCAAACCCACCAGTCGTTCTGCGGGAGAAAGATGTAGCAGTCTGCTTCCATAAAGATACAGCCTTGGAAGCTCTATGAGGCAGTTCTACCCTGCCCTTTAGGGTCACTATGAGTTGGTATCTACTTGACAGCAGTGAGGTTTTTTTTTTTTTTTTTTTTTGGTATTATCTCGCAGAGCAGGATTAAGTAAATGCCTATGGTACCCTTTATACTTCTGAGTTAGTGTTACATTACGTACTCAAGTGCTGGTATAAATGACATAATCATAGGTTACTTAAACGCCTCATTCAGAGATAAGGAAACTAGAACTAGGAAGATAAATGACTCGCCCAAGAAACATAGCTCTACCCTGGTCTCCTAACTCCCCATCCTCTTCTCTTCCACAGAGTGCTCATCTGTAAAGGAGCCTAATGCTCTGCATGCATCCCTAGAGCAAATTCCTACTCCTGATCTTTCCATTCACATGAAATTAGAGAAAGCTTTTCTCAAATTGCTGTCATTCTCATACCACTTTCATAATCTCTGTCACAATAATCTACTACCTCTATTACTACTCTACTACCACTACCAATCTGTCAGTTTGCTGTATTGTGGTGGCATGCATGTTGCTGTGATACTGGAAGCTATGACACTGGTATTTCAAATACCAGCAGGGTCACCCATGGTGGACAGTTTTCAGTGGAGCTTCCAGACTAAGACAGACTAGGAAGAAAGGCTTGGAGATCTACTTCTGAAAATCAGCCAATGTAAACCCTATGGATAACAGAATATTGTCTGAGACTTCAACTCACTTACTTTGAAAACATCATCGAGAGACAGACTGCGGGAGAAGGACACCATGTTTGGCAAAGTGGAGGGCCAGTGATGGCAAGGGAAACCCTCAGTAAGATAAATTGATATAATTGTTGCAACAATGGACTCATACATACCAATGATCATGAAAATGGCATAGGATTGGGCAATGTTTTGTTCTGTTACATATAAGGTCACCATGAGTTGGAGTCGACTCAATGGTAGGTAACTAATAACAACAAAAACCTCTACTATTATTTACTTTCTTTTTCTTTATATAAACTCTATTTTTATGCTTAAATTTATTTTAAATAAGAACTTTACATTACTACTACAAATGGAAAACCAGCATTTTTACCATGAATGAATGGTGCCTGTAAGAATAAATACACTGATGACAACAAAGTTGTTACATTCTACTGGATATTCTTGTTTGCCAAAAGCTCTGAATATAAGCTCTCTGTTTAAAAAAGGGAAATTAGAAGAATTAGAGAGATGTTAAAGATATACTAGTATCAAATGAGACTTCTTCAAGGCCACAATTAAGATGGAAAGAGGTAAGGGAATGAGTTCTCACCATGTGATTCGATGTTAATTAATGTACCACCTAAACTCACCTCACTTATCAAAGGTAATATTTCTAGTTGCCATAGAAGCCCAGAGCAGACACTTGGGAGAAGTGGTTAGGGGAGGTAGTTATAGGTGCAGACACTACTATGCTTCACTGTTTTTGGAAAACGTATGAAAAAATGAATGAAAAGTGTTAACCAGGGGATTGAATATCCATTTGGAAGACTGGTGATATGGATCAAGGTCAGATCAAAATAGAAGCCTCAAAAGTAGAATGACATCCAGCTTTCTTCATCACAGTCAGACTTCAGCTGCTGCAGACAGCAAGTTCTGTATCACTTTTTAACCATATTCCTAAAACCAATCAAATAAATCCCTGCCTGCTGCAAATGGTTAACATGCTCAGCTGCTGACTGAAAGATGGGAGATTCAAGTCCACCTAGAGGCACCTCAGGAGAAGACCTGATGATCTATTTCCTAAAAATCAGCCACTGAAAACCCTATGGAGGTAGTTCTATTCTGACATACACAGGATCGCCATGAGTCAGGATTGACTTGATGCTGTGTGTGTCTGTATATTTTTTTTAACCTCGATTAAATCACAAAATAATCAGCAGAGAAGGGAAGCACATGCAGAACAGCAATACTTTGCTGGGAAAGAACAGGAAATGGACCATAAAAGGCTGAGATGTAGTGAAATGAACACATCTCATATTCTGAGACATGCCTTAAAGAGGAAAACATGGGTTTATTTTCATAATCAATGAGACCATTTCAGGACAAAACTAGAGCAGCACCCAAAAGTTAACATCGAGATTGTGTATCTTTATAAAGTGCATATGGTCTAACTGTAGAATACTACATACTACATCACTGAACACTTTTTAAATAATAGATCTAAAAACAGCGTTCATGGAATTTATATATTACTGTACTTGGATGTGGGACATTAGTTATTTCCATGAGATGGCACTTGATCCCTTTTTATTTTTTATCTTGGTGAAAAATTAGATTCTTATGCTATTGCAGAACAAACAGATCTTATGTTTCAAAGTTAATGTGGCTGCGTTCATATTCTTTTGACAGCTACATTTTGCTTCCAACAGTTATATATTTTCCCCTTCTTGGCCTTCAAGATATGTTTAGTATTCCTTTCAGATCAATCAATAATTATTTACTCAGTGACAACCTTGTGCTCACTTCTGGGTCACAAGTTTTGTTGGATACAACAGAAATAAAAGATATGGTCTCTATCTTAAAATTTACTTGTGGAGATAGGAAAATTCAGTAAAATGGAGAGCTAGTAATTTATAAGTGCAGAGGGATTTCAGAGAAAAAGGGTATTCATATTCAAATGTGTAGTCAGGGGCCCTAAAGATAAATGAAGTCCTGATACATGCCATGACATAGATGAATCTTGAAAACATCATGCTGAGCAAAATAAGTCAGCTGCAAAAAGGCAAATACAGTATATTTCACTTATGTGAAGAAAACATACAGAAACGAAAAATTATTAGTGGTTACCAGGGGCTAAGTGGAGGGGGGAAGGGGGAGATTTTGCTTGGGGGGCATTTGAGTTTATGTTGATGGTGGTGGAGTAATTTGGAAAAGGATAGTGAGAATAGATACAACTTGAAGAATGTAATCAGTGTTGCTGAATTATACATGCAGAAGTTGTTGGGGAAGAAAACATAATGAGCCACATTATTTTAAATTTTCTAATAAAAAGAGACAGGTAAAAAAAAAGTATAGTCAGGGAAGGCCTCGTGTAAGAGTAGAATTTGAGCCAAGTTAGGATATGTAGCTTCAGCTAGGTGTAAGGGAAAAGAGAGCAAATTTTAGAAACAGAATAAGCAAAAACATGGAGGTGGGAACAGGTGAGAACAGGTATGACCCTGAGTGATGAGACAAGGGTGTTCGGTTGGAAAGTTGTGATTTTAAAAGGCTGCTTACATACAGTGGAGCTAAACTGAGGTCTTACTTTTCATATAGTAGAAATTCAGTAAACATTTGTGGTACAAATGAATGAGAAGAAATGGAGAGTCACAAAACCATTTCGAGAGGGAAGAGATATGATGAAAGTGTTGTTCAAGAAGAGGGAGACCCTCTGACAGCCGGGGGGACACTCAAGAAGAATGTGGTAATCTAGGAATGAGTGTTGACAGCCTGGGCTGGGGTGACAGGAGGGCGGATGCAAACAAATAAGGACTGAAAGGAGACACATTTGAAGACAAAAACATAGCGGAACTTATTGTCTGACTACAGTCAAAGAATAAAAGAGAGTTAAGAATTAAAGACAAGCCTTATACTTTTTTATTGCTGTAAAGATGTATATAACACAACATTTGCCAATTCAATGCTTTTCATGTATACAATTTAGTGATATCAACTATATTAATCATATTGTGCAACCATCACTAATAATTGTTGTTGAATTTTCCATCACCATAAACACAACTCACTGCTTCCTGAACAATGATTCCCCCCATACCCTTCCTTCCCATCCTTGGTAACCACCAATAAACTTTGGTCTGTACCGATTTTCCTATTCTAGATATTTCATATAAGTGAGATCGTACAATATTTGTCCTTTTGTGATTGACTTTTTCCACTCAGCGTAATGTTTTAAGTCAGGTGACTGGGAAAATTGTGGGGCCATTTAAAGAGAGGTGAGTGGGGGAGCTGATTTGGGATTGGAAGGAAAGACAAAGACACTGGTTTTCTGACTGCCTGAATTTAAATTAGTGGTGGGGTATACAAGAAAATGTTCCAGAGGGACAGCCTAGGCCTGCCCCTCTCCCAAGTGAAGATTAGAGCAAAGACAAGAGAGTTTATGGATGAACTCCATGGAAAACCCAGCAAAAAGGCAAAGCACGATGGTTGCACAACATGAAGAATGAAATCAATGTCACTGTAACTTAGTTAAAACTATGGAAATGACCTGTTACTCTCTCTGTGCATGTGTAAAAGTGGCAGATGTGTGGCTAGGGGCCTCAGGGAAGGGGCATGACT